ATTCAGCTTGCTTTAATCGACTCATTTCACAGTTAACCGTACCAGCTTGCGGATACTGTCCAGCACCAGGTCGATGATCTCTTTGCCAATGGTGTAGTGCCCACGGGCATAGTTGTTGGCAGCATCTTCTTTGCCAGTGATGAGCTGTTCAGGGTGGAACAGCTGACGGTAGGTCCCAGTGCGTACTTCATCTGGCCAGGCAGAGAACAAGGAGTTAATCTATAGACAAGGAACTGGGACACAGCAGCATAATGGCTGCCCTCTAGGAGAGACTGAGAACTTACCAATAACTGTAGGCTCCAGATCTACAAATACAGCCCTGGGAACGTGCTTCCCAGCTCCAGTCTCACTGAAGAAGGTGTTGAAGGAATCATCCCCTCCTCCGATGGTCTTGTCACTGGGCATCTGGCCGTCCGGCTGGATCCCATGTTCCAGGCAGTAGAGCTCCCAGCATGCATTGCCAATCTGCACACCGGCTTGGCCCACGTGGATGGAGATGCACTCACGCTAGGGGAAAAGAGTAAACGTGGTCAACTGAATGCATATTATTAAAAATATTTGATTATTCATTTAGGAATTGTATCTGAACAGATAACATTCATCATCGTTTATAGATTTTCCTTAAGCCAGCTTGCAATTAAAATAATCGCAATTAAATGTAATCAATTAAATAATTGCTGATAAAACACTGTAAATACAAGCAGAAAATGGTATCATTCCTATTCTGATTAGGTTTTCTTTTAAATTCTAATATAATATAATAAGTAGCCATCTTTTAAGAGAATAAATTTTAACTGTAACGCCAGTGTGTGTTTTTTTCCCTAGACTGCAGTCTTTCATTCATGTATTTCGCCTCTCTGGCCCTGGGTGAATAAGGAGGAATGGAACCACATAAGGGCACCACCCTGCGGTGCAGGTTGCTTAGCCAAGCAAAGCCAGACTGTGCTGGGACTGCGCATTGAGGCATTATGCCACACCCGTCTGCCTGCCCCCACAGCAGGAGATCTGCACATGCTCACACCAAGCCACCCTCCCCCTCTATCCACGGCAATGCCCGTTGCTAGGCAACCAGACACCCACATGCACGGCACAGCGCCACTCGGGGCTCTATGAGGCGAATGGCAGCAGCAGCAAGATTTCATTAACAAATGAAGCTTCTGAGTATCGCTGCCTCGCCTGCTCGACTCCTTTGCATGTTCACAAAAAAATCCACCAGATAGCTTGATGCCAGTTCACAAAGCAGGCTGTGAATTCAGTTCTAAACATAGCTCTTGTATGCTGGAACGTATCACCTCTTCCTCAGTCTTACATCCTCCCTCCATTCTATTTGAATGAAAAATTGAACCGGCTGATGCTGACATTTCACATTTCCTGTGGACCATAAGTAAAGCATGGAAATATACCGTGATAGAACTAAATATAAAGCCGAGATTGGTTATAAGGGCCAGAAAATAAGACCAAAGATACATGTAGGCCTCTGCTGGACCCTGTGACAGCTGCTTACCCTCCCCAAGCAGTCTGCGGTTTTCCATTTTGGAATACCACGGGCAAGGACTCCAAGAAAGGCGAGAGGGGGTGGGAACTAATGAGGAATTGCATTGTCCCATCATCACCATGGCGACTAGAGCACACTTTCTAAGATCTGGTTTCCTTTCATTCAGCAAGGGGAGAGAAAAGCGACTTCATGTAAATGCAGTAATTCGATATTGATCAGGTGACAACACAGAAGTCAATATCAGTCCGTATTACAGCTGTTCTGCAGACGCATGGAAGCCAGCATCATCTATTAAAAACACTCTGAAATGTATTTATAGATATATTGCGACAGAAAACGATCATGAATTATAGATATTTAAACGGTTTTCATGGTGATATACTTGTCTGATTCATATGTGTTAGATAGAGCATATGCAGGCTAAGTATCTCGGTATTATATGGCGTCAGGCAAATGAGGGTAGAGACGGGGAGTGAGCGACCTGGAATCGTGCCACGGAAGCGGACTAGGAGATGATGGAGGGGGTTGGGCAGCCCCCTGCTTTTTCATCATGATTATACCAGTGGGGGTCATAAAAATTCATAGCGGATGTTTTCTAAATGATCCAAATTTCACAGTCCGTTACAGGCGCATAAAAAAGCGGTATTATAGTTTAGACCACAACAAAATAGGTATTGGAGGATATAGAATATTCCAAGATAAGGGTTCAACTGCAAATTCTGTAACAGATGTCTTCAGGAGGACTGGATCAAGACATCCAAAAATAGTCTGTATAATGTAAGACATAAGCGGAATAGTCTCTCGTGGTTCTGCATTGTTAGATAAATTGTGTATGCTAAGACTTTACCTTAAATTAAAGTGGCACCCTAACATTCAATTTAACACGTAACCGTGATAATGAAACCGATTTCTGACGTATACTAATCCCGCTAGTTACTGTATATACATTAAGATGAAGGTGGGTCGAAATTCGGTATAAAACACTCAGGCCTACACGAAACAGAACATTTCCTACATAATGAATAACAAAGAGATTTAAATTTTGCCGCTGTTATAAGAAGCAAAGATACTTTAAACGTATTGCCCTTCAGCCAAGTCATAGATAAACCTCAGATAAACCCCATTCGTTTGCGCAGTGACATGCCTACAGAAAACACCCACGCAAGATTAATTCTGGATAAATCGGGATGCTGAAAGAGTTACATTACTCACCATGTTTTCTGAAAGAGAGAAGTTATAAGGAAATAAAGGAAGAAGAAAATAAACGCTCCCTTGTAACTGCTCTAAAAGAAATGATGTTACTCGGACCGACAGCTAAGAGTCGTCGCAGTAACTGACTGGGGGAGTGGAGCTGCACTCCGGTTTATAGCCAGCGCAGAGGGCCGGGCCAGCATACATTAATATATTAGGATTACTCCCTGAACTGTGCTGGCTTTGGAAAAAATATTAATGATAGAATAAAATGTTTTACACCTCAGAAATTTGCGTAAATTTGCTAAAATCTCGTTTTGGATTGTATTGAAAAGAAGGAATTTGTATATTGTTAGCCAAATAACGTACCCTGCGAAGAACGAAACATCCAGAATTTGCTTTAGGCCTATATAATACTGCAATTAAATAGCGTAATTCGTCACATGGGTCAAACTGCGTAATACTGCAGATGTATAAACTACACACGATATACAGGAATGTAATCTTAGCACTGTTTTGTGTTTTATTGTATTAAATTGTGTTCATGCCTCTCGTGGTTACCGAAGAACACCTAGTCTACTATAAGAGAAAACATCCTGTTATCTTACGTTATGAAATGTATCTTCATGAGTAGAACTAATATTTCTGGCCATTCTGTGGTTCCGGACACGTTTTTAATGCGTGCTTTGGATTAATTTGACTAACGGGTTAGGTCTGGTTGTATTGCCATAACGATGGATGACAAAGCGTTTTTGCTGCTGCTGTTCATAAGTGCATCGACAAATCTCATCACAATGTAGGTTTATGTAAAAATAAACTATTTGTTATGAAAGATACTTTTTGATTTTCACCGAAAATTCCATTCTCGTTTGTCATTTTTGTCTGTCTATCTATCTAGCTATCTATCTATCTATCTATCTACTGTATCTATCTATTTTGAAAGTGACAATACAGAGAGTCTTTTTGTGCTGACCCATAAATGTAGACAGTAATATTTTGTTGAATCCAAGTGTTCTTCCTGTTGATATAAACCATTTCTTGATTTCTAAGTGCGGTAGCAAATATCCATCCAAACCATGACAGATATAGAACACAAATCTTTGTTCGTTTGTCAAATAAAGGTGGTGGGGATTGTGACAGAAATATAGTTTAAAGTGTTATGCTTTTCAATCTTTGTGTACTTGTCATACATAAGTTTGCCCTTGAATCCATAAAATTTTGTGAGATAGCCAAGAATTTCTAGGTATGCCCTTGAACGTAGTTATACATTCATGGCTCTTACGGTAGCCAGTTTTCCTTCTAAGGCACCAAATTGTCTGTAGGTGTGAATGTGTGTGTGAATGGTTTGTGTTTCCTGCAATGGTTTGACGCCCCATCCTGGGTTGTTCCCTGCTTTGCACCCATGGTCTCCAGGATAGGGCTCCAAAGCCCTGTGAGCCTGAATAGCACAAGCAGGTTCAGGAAACCCCATGACGACACGGGGAGAGCATGCAAGCTGCACACGTCTGGAGCTTTGGCACGACCCAAAGCCAGCAGGTCCTAGAGGCATGAGGCGAAATAACGTTATTCAAGTACATAAATACGATCAAATATAGTTTCCAAGGTACAGGCCTGAAAATAAATTATATTAAGTCATTTAGTAAATTAATAACTGACAAAAAGTAACTGATAATTCATTTGGAAGATGAATGTGCGGTGTTGTGTATGTCAATACTAAAACACTGACAATACGCACAGAGAGTGTATTACATAAACAGCTTTATTTGGAGAGTAATTCATTTGGAAGTCATACTGTTAATGTAGTACAGTCAGATACACATAATACAATGGACACAGTAAAACGCAATACTAGAACCTAAGGGATTTTGTGAGCTAAACCCACTGCAAAGGTGCCTATTTTTCATATTTCACATAAGCCCCTAATACTCCTCTCCCTCATCTTCACCCTCACCTTCCACAGAGTCGACGCCCACCTCTTCATAATCCTTCTCTAGAGCTGCCATGTCTTCCCTGGCCTCAGAGAACTCTCCCTCCTCCATACCCTCACCCACATACCAGTGCACAAAGGCTCGCTTTGCATACATCAGGTCAAACTTGTGGTCCAGGCGAGCCCAGGCCTCAGCGATAGCAGTGGTGTTGCTCAGCATGCACACTGCTCTCTGAACCTTGGCCAGGTCTCCACCAGGAACCACAGTAGGGGGCTGGTAGTTAATGCCCACCTTGAAACCAGTGGGGCACCAGTCCACAAACTGGATGGTGCGCTTGGTCTTGATGGTGGCGATGGCAGCATTGACATCTTTGGGCACCACATCACCACGGTACAGCAGACAGCAGGCCATGTACTTGCCATGACGGGGGTCACATTTGACCATCTGATTGGCCGGCTCAAAGCAGGCATTGGTGATCTCGGCTACAGTTAACTGCTCATGGTAGGCCTTCTCTGCAGAAATGACTGGGGCATATGTAGCTAGAGGGAAGTGGATACGAGGATA